ACCACGGCTGACAATATTTACTCAGTTTCTTTAGAACCTCTAAAGAACGTGAATTCTAATGTTTGAAGTTGGACCATTTTTGATTAATTAAATATATATTATGGTGGTGCCAGCAGCATGACTATAATTACAGCTGTATTAGATTTTTTTTTAATCAAAAGCTCTGATTTTCAAGTGTTCTCTCACTCCTATATGCGCTTCTCCCCCTCTTCCTCCCTCCTTGTCATTCCTCTCCCCTCATCTGTGTTCGCCTCTGCACACACACTCACCCACCCATTACCTCTCACACCTGCACTCCCACTTGCTCATGTTTTGTGGCAAATCCTCCTTGCTTGTCAGAAGGGCAGGATGCAAAGGGCAGAATGTAAAGGGCATCCCTTTGACAAGCAGCCCGCAACAGCCGCTCACCTGCTCTCCTCCGATCACAGCCGCAATGCAACCCCAGGAGGGTAAAGCTAAAAGGTGAAGCCACGCTATGGAGAAAGTTTCTAATCTGAATACATGGGCCAACTCCCCCCCCTGAAGGCAAGATTCATGACCCTCCACAGGCAGCAAGTCTGTAATTCAGTGAGTTACAAGACTGAGAAGTCACAACCACTGAGATGTGCCATTCTGATGTCATGGTGCTGTGGTGACACCCACGTTACTTTGAGCCTATTTCCTTTCTTGAAGTGCTCCAAACAAGTAAAACACAAAGCACTGAACATCCAGTGCTGCTCTTTACTCAAAGCTATTCCTTCTCTCAACACTGCACAGCTTATCACAACCAACAACTCTGGCTTCTGCAAAATGCAAGCAAAAATCCAGCTGGATTTTTGTTTTGGTTTTTTTCCCCAAGAAACATTTTATAGGGACAGAGAAAACATGTGGCTGATGAAAGCAAGCACAAAATCCCTGCACATCCTTAGTGTAATCGAAACAGCTCCTGTAAGCACATCCTAGAAACCTCAGCTTTCAAAACACAGCTGCAACTGCGGCACGATCCATGTGAGAGGAGGCTCAGCCAGCCTCACCAGAGCATAAAGCTTTGCTGTTGTGGATGCAGCTGTGGGCCAGAGCCCGTCTCTCTCATGTCTCAGGTCACTTAAGGGACACCATCAGTATGAAACCAGGCCAAAGATAATAAATTTTTAGAGTAATTTGAAACGCTCTTCATTGCCCAAACACAAATGAGCAATGTCTTTGTTGTCTCAGGCTCCTCTATTTTAGAAAACTTCCCAAAATCTTTCTAAATAGTGTGATACCAAAGGAAGAAAGCAGATACACAAACAGAAGATTAACACAGGCCTGAAGTTGACTGTTGCAGTGACTCCTTTTTGGATAGGACAACTTCATGGAGTGAAAAGCCTCAACTGTGCTGTCAATCTGCAACAGGAACCCATATTTTTGGAAGAGACAGCAACTAAATAATGACAACAACCAACCAGTAAGTACTTGCTTGCAACTAATCAGCATTTCTTTGGCATTGTACTTAACAGCTTGGCTGTCACTTTTTTATTCAAATACAAAAAGCACTTTCAATATCTTCTTTCAAAACGTATAGGTGTCTGAATATTACATTTATGAATCTAAGCAGAAGCAACATTCTAGGCCCAGAGTATCAGATTATACTCTTCCATGATGTGAAAACCAGCTTCACTATGCATTTAGAAATCCCTCGTTTCTGAGAGATGCAAGGTCCTTACATACATTCTTCTGTTGTTAATGAACAGAAACACATAATTGTTCTGTACTTTAGAAGATAAAACAAAGCAGCAGGAGACTCAAGATAGATACTGTAATAATGAATAAATGAACATGCATAACACTTAGAGATTTGCTTTCTTAAAATAACAATTCTGCAGCCATTACAGACAACAAACACCACTAATAAAGCAATAATGCCTGCACAATCTCGTGAGGTTTAATACAATTCACGTTACAAAAATAGCTATCGTGAAAGGATAGGTAATGAACAAATCCAGGTTTCCTAAAATTTAAAAGTAGTTGCACAAAGGTTATCTTTCATAGCACAGACTGATAACAGTCTTGAAAAAATCCAAATCAATACTTCAAAAACATAGGCAATACTTTGGTTTACAATCATAGAATAGGGTGGGAAAGGACCTTAAGATCATCCAGTTCCAACCCCCCTGCCATGGGCAGGGACACCTCACACTAAATCATGTCACCCAAGGCTCTGTCCAACCTGGCCTTGAACACTGCCAGAGATGGAGCATTCACAACCTGTCTGGGCAACCCATTCCAGTGCCTCACCACCCTCACAGTAAAGAATTTCATCCTTATATCCGCTCTAAACTTCCCCTGTTTCAGTTTGAACCCGTTACCCCTTGTCCTATCACTACAGTCCCTAATGAAGAGTCCATCCCCAGCATCCCTATAGGCCCCCCTTCAGATACTGGAAGGCTGCTATGAGGTCTCCACGCAGCCTTCTCTTCTCCAGACTGAACAGCCCCAACTTCCTCAGCCTGTCTTCATACGGGAGGTGCTCCAATCCCCTGATCATCCTCGTGGCCTCCTCTGGACTTGTTCCAACATGTGCTTTTTATGTTGAGGACACCAGAACTGCACACAATACTCCAGGTGAGGTCTCACGAGAGCAGAGTAGAGGGGCAGGATCACCTCCTTCGACCTGCTGGTCACGCTCCTCTTACGTGATACGGCTGGCTTTCTGGGCTGCAAGCACACACTGCAGGCTTATGTTCATTTTCTCATCGACCAACACCCCAAGTCCTTCTCCACAGGGCTGCCCTGAATCTCTTCTCTAATCTCTTCTTACAATCTTTTGGTTAATAAAAGCCTCTGTCTTTTATAAATTTGACTGGGATTTGAAGCTCTCATTTTATTTCTGAAAAATCACAGTAAGCCTTTGACCAAATGGTAAATGGCCCAATGGTACTAAACATGTCCCTTGAAGGAGAAGAGAAGGCTGTGTGGAGACCTCATAGCAGCCTTCCAGTATCTGAAGGGGGCCTACAAGGATGCTGGGGATGGACTCTTCATGAGGGTCTGTAGTGATAGGACAAGGGGTAATGGGTTCAAACTGAAACAGGGGAAGTTTAGATTGGGTATAAGGAAGAAGTTCTTTACTATGAGGGTGGTGAGGCACTGGAATGGGTTGCCCAGGGAAGTTGAGAATGCTCCATCCCTGGCGGTGTTCAAGGCCAGGCTGGACAGAGCCTTGGGTGGCATGGTTTAGTGTGAGGTGTCCCTGCCCATGGCAGGGGGGGCTGGAACTTGATGATCATAAGGTCCTTTCCAACCCTAACTTTTCTATGATTCTATAAAGTCACATTAAATTCAAATTTACTTAAACTACAAGGTGACTCATCAAATGTTTGAAGCTTCAGTAGTGGACCTGATGAACAGTAGTCCGTCTAAAGCTAGGCTATATCACATACCTGTGTGACACAGAACGTGTCAAAGCTTTATACAGTTGAATTTGCAAATACCTGTCCCCTTCAGGATGAACACCCAGCCCTGTTACACAAATATGAATCTTCCTGTTAATAGAAATTGATCTGTACCCAGAAGTTACCAGGTTTCTGCCAAGTAAGCTCCTTGAACCAGTTTCCCAAGGGGTCAACAGCGTGACCTTGCAAAGGAGAGAACAGGAAAGAGAACCAGTCCCCTCGGTCATGATGCTGTGAAGTCCTCCAACCTCTACACACAGCACAGAGACAGAGGGCAAATGCAAAGAACATCTGTCAGCTTCCTCACCCTTAGCTTCCAGATTTTCAAATGTACTTCCAGTTTATCTCAAACTTTGTTTTGTTACTATATGATTCTGTTCGTATCCAAAATACTCAAATACCCACAAACAGAACACAGAAAACCTCTTCACTGTTTTCTATGCAGGTTCAAAATGTATATATGCCCTTGTTTACAATCAGTGACTCAATGCAGTTAGCTGTGCAGGAATTATCAAACATATTTTTAAGGGGTTTTTGAGAGAGAAACAGCAGCAGCAAAAACAAAAAGCAAAAGAGCTCTACTCAAAGCTGACCTCCTGAAGGCTAAATACCTGCTCGCTGGCAACACAGCTTCAAAATGTAAAATCCACTTCATATCAGATGTTTATTTACAATATCCCAGTACTGATGACTCATGTCATTTTGCTATATAACGGCTTTAAACCTGAGCAACCTGAAAAATGATTACTTGGGAAACCCAACTTTTATTAAAGAAAATATCAAGGCATGGTTTGGGATAGAAAAGCTTGAAAATATAATCCAAGTGCAGAGCTCTCAATATCCAGAGTGCAAACAGAAAAAGCACGAGGAAAAGAATAAAACACCCACACACACACATCCCATTCTACCCCAAAAAGAACCCCAAACAAACCTCATGATTTTATGGGGCTTCAGTCTATTAAACAGATTGAAAGAGTTTGTTGTGTTTTGTAAGGCAAACATTGCCAGTTTCAAGCCAGCAGAGCAACCACCAGCCATTCCATAATGCTCCCCAGTAACTTCATATTCCTCATTGGGAGTTTATACCTTTTCTAGACTATGGAAACAATTTTTGTTCAGCTTGAATGGTGCCTGCAATAGGTCATTTGAAAGGCCTATGTTAAATAGTAGCCAAACTTGCACAGGCCTAAACTAATACTGTATTTTGCAGCTCTTTTTTTTGTGAATTCACATATTTTTCAGGAAAAACACAGCACTTCAAATATCACTACAAAGGCAGCTGATCCTTCCCAGATCAAACAACTACATACAACACACTGAAATGTCATGGCTAACTAAGCCTGTTACAAATTCACTTTAAAAGGGGAAAGAGGTAAGGCTGCAGGGACAATTCTGAAATGCTTTATAAATGCTGTTTAAACAATAAACCCATTTTACAGATGAAGTACAGATGTTAATTAAGTAGTATGTGGCCACTCAAAGACATCTTTTGTATGAGATCTAGGAACTGAAATCAAGTCACCTAGACTGGTAAGTTTTTGCCCGGTTGTCTTAATTTCACAAGATCTCTTTTTCTTGACCACTCACCTCTTGTGCAAATGACTCTGCTTTCTTCCGCAGGTTCTTTTCCAGTTCAAAGTTTACATGGAGCTCTTCATATTCCTCTACTGCCAGCACAGACACTGTTTCACAAGAATAAAATGAGATCGGAAGTAGAATGGATCAAAAGAAGAAAGTACTGCTTGATTTACCCAGATAACCTGTTATTCCCTAGTAGCATGAATTCTTGAATGAAGGTGTAACCTAGTTTTACATTTCCATATATAGTCCATTTTGCAATATCTATCCTGTTTGCTGTAAACCTCACTACATATATATGCACAATTACTATTCTTCTGAACACAGTAATACTCCTCCCACCCAGACTCCAAATCTCCAGTAACAGGCATCATGTAGCACAGATCACATTTTGCCTCTTTGGCTCTAAGTGACCAAAGTATCAAGAGAGCCTTGCTGAATCAAAGATTGCTGTTATTTTGGAGGCACTTGTATTTGCCCACCTGGTTTCAGTGAGACTAGACGTGTCCCTTCACAGAGGTTTAAAGACACCTCAAGAAGAAAACAGTGCAATTTTGTGTTGCCTGTATTTAATCTGTGTTCACAAAAGCCATGCTCATACTGGTGGCTAAAGCTAACCATGGGGCATGCCTTGGTGTTTTAAGGGTATTCAAGTACTACCAGTCATAGGCTTAAGCAATGCAAACACATGGAAGAGTAAGAAATGAATACAGGATGGAAGCTTACAGCATATGCCCTCCTGTATCTTGGCCAGATCCATTGTCTTCCACTTCAGGAAAACGTGAAACAGCCAAGGAGACTTTTAAACAAACAGTTTTTAAGTTTATAAGGCTAAATAAGAATCAAGAGAAAAGGGCACAGTAATCCAAGGCACTAAAGTCTTTCTCATCTCTGAACTTCTTTTGGGTCAACTATTTCTCATCTGGAAGCACTAACATTCATTATGAAAAAGCTTTCCTTTTCTGAGCTTTTAGACTTGCCCTGCCTTGGTTTTCTCTCATCTCTTTCCAGGAAAGGAAAGTCCCCACTTTCCTTTTGTAACTTGGAAATCCTACTTATCTCATTCCTAGCACTCTTGCCTTTTTCTCATCATCCTCTGAACATACAAGAAGTTGCTCTCAATTCTTCAGATATTCAGCTGTTTCCCAACTAAACAGAAAGGCTGACGTAATGATTCAGGAAAACAGGAAATGGAAGATTCAAACTCCATCTCTGTGAAGGACTGCCTTAGCTTGCCACTTACACCACAGGGCAAAGTATTTTTCTATTCACACATACAACCAGCTATTTACACTGTCACATTTTCGTGCAGTAGAGACAGCCCAGAATAATCCATGTGTTTATGCAGTCCATGTGTTTATGTAGTGCCTGTTCCAATGAGGCCAAGTGTCAGATCTGGACCATAGTCACTGTTGTGTAACCTACTCTTTGCTACAACATAAAAGCTCTGAAGCTTTTGCAAAGGATGTAGCAAACTGTTAAAGAACTTGCCGAGACCACACACCTCTGTTACATTTCTCCAACAGTTTTTGCTGCTTATTAACTTCTGATGTCAAAGCAGCCTTTTCGTCTTTCACTCTATTTACCTAGAAAAGTATAAAGAACAAAAAAGGGTATTTTAGTTAGTGGCATAAGGCATATGGCACATACATAGTACAAGCAGTATTTTTCTTGATGTAATTCTGTTTCTTAGATTTGGCTTGTTGTTAGGGTTTCCAGTGGGATGGAAAGCATTTTTACCCCAACCCACAGACCTCACAATAGATGTCATAAAAGGGTTATGAATTAATCCTCCTATGGCCCATTCATACGGCACATACCACTCACAGCTGCAAATACAACATCTTTGGAACCTTTCAGGATCAAGCACCATAGCACCTGGTTGAAAAGTTACTAGCTTGTCCTTGACTGTTTGTGTTTTAATATAGTCAGGCTGCTGTTTTGGATTTTTTCCTGTGCTCTGTTCATTGTCCAAGAGCCATCAGCTGTGTCTTTCTGAATGCAAGTGCTGCATAGACAGGAAGAAGCACTAAGCCCTGATTTGCATCAGTACATGGCTTATCCAGTTTTCAAGCAGGAATGAAACTCTGCTGGCTCAAAAAGCTAATTTGCTGGTCTAATTACCATGACAGGGCACTGCCGATGGCTAAACTCAAGGATATGCTCAATGAAGTAGCACCAATGATTAAACTGGACATCCTCCAGAAGTATTTCTTGCACATCTACAGGTTTAACAAAATCAGAAAAAGAAAAAAAAAACCTGCAGGCTGCATGGGAGAGGGGCTGTCAGGAAAAGGAGATGAGAGTTACAATATGGGTGTTAGAACAGATGAGAAGTCACGAGCCAGCAACTGCAGCAGAGTGGACTCTTGACATAGAAAGCCCCTCCTAGGTGTATGCCTTAAGTGGTCCATCATATGGGAAGGCGGGCAGGACTTGCGATTAGATAGTATTCAATTAACTTCACAACTGAGTGTTTTTAGCAAAATTAGATACAAAAAGTACTGACTACACGCTAACGTGATCTCGCCTTCCATGGTACAATACATACTTCTTCAATTACTTCTACAAGTTTGCACCTCAGGTTTTCCAGTTCAATGGCCAAGGTCTTCTTTTCCTCATGAACAGATACGATTTGATCTCGCAGCTCTACAGTTTAGGGAAGGAAATGAAAGATATATCTTACTCTTAGAAGAAAACAACAAAGGAGATGTCATAGCAATGCAAGTAGAATTAACTATGAAACACCCTAACTGCATACAAAGCATCAGCTGTATTCAAGGCATGTCCTCAATAATTTAGGAACTTTGCATAAGTGTCAAGTAACAGACCTATAACTGGGCTCCAGTTTCAGATTTATGCTATTGAGGCAAGCTGCCCTGTTCAGTATTGCTGTCTTTATTTGCATTCTGAATGATTTATTTCCTGCTACAACAGGGCCAATCCTGCAATCCTGCCACCACAGAGTGCCCTCAGCCCTACTCAGGAGACTGGCACATCTCAGAGACTCTGGTACAGAGGTAGCAGAAAGCAATTTTTAATAGGCATCCTTTAAAACAAATTAATGCACTTCAGTTCTTTTTGGATCATGAGTTCTTGTCACAAGGGAAATAAACAAAACAACAGGCAGTTAATACTTGGGAGGTTTTCACTGAAGAAATTGTCCTGAACAGCTGCCAATTCATAGTCTTTGCAACATTCTGTGAGCAGAGGCAGAATAGAACCTTTACTGATGAAGAGCTAATGCTTGTAATTTTCCCCTCAGAATTTTTTGCTCCTTAATTATCAAAATATGAAATAAATTAAATTCACAATGGAATAAAACATTTGATTATAATCACTTCTTAACAGGAGATCAGTTTGCATACATAATACATCAAGGTTTAGGTTAACATAAAATCACCACAAAAACATAAATGTATTGATATATAGTAGCTTCCAGTAAGTGCTCTGATTCCCCACCTGCTTCCAGGATTTCATAGCACTGCTGTTCATTGAGCAGCAGCCATGAGTTGAGACAATCGTTGCTAATCAATTGCAGATGATGATGACCTACTGGATGTCACTCTGTTTGGTCTCGCATCTTGAAAAGGATTCAACCCCAGCCCCCTTCTCCCAATTCAGGAGCTTCAGACTTATTTTCCTCCAGATTACAGGGGTATACACTTTAAATAGAAAGACCTGTTTTCCCAGAAGATTCTTAAACCAAATTGTCTGGTCTATGGATTTGTGCTTTCCAGTGAAATTAACAGGGGGAAAAAGTCTCACTGACATTTATAGTAACTGGATTAAGTCAGGTCTTACAATACACATATCAACCTCATTATCTAGAAAAAGAAGCATATCCATACAGCATGAAGAGCCTCAGACTGCACCACCTTATTTGTATATCCTTAAAGAAAAGTGGTGGGAGGGAAGGAATCATTCCAGGAAACATGCAGTATTTTGTTGAATGCTGAGAAGGCTAAAAGACTTCCAAGATCCCCAACATGTCACATTCTGCTCTTTGATGAATTCTTCATCAAGACAGAGAGCATGTGCATCAGAGCCTTTCTCAAATATTTTTCCAGTTTGACCCTGCTACCCTCCTAACCATGCTCTCCTCTGATCTGCAGCCAGAGTCTCTGCTCTCTTTAAATGTATTCTTGACATCCTTCTCCAATAAAAGACAGGAGGAACTCCAGTCTTATTTCAGACTCAGATGGGTTGTACGGTGTGGATCACACCCTTCTCAGCCTCTTTTCCTTCATCTACAGGATGGAAATACGCTTAATATACAAGTGTACTATGACATCTTATTTCTTAGGTGGGATTTCTTTAAAGCATTTTTACAACATTCCTTTTTTTCCCTCAATGATACTTTGTACCACTTCACTGAGGCTGCTGCATTCAAACAGAAAACAATTAACAAGGTCAGGCTGAAAGTTCAAGAACACTGTTAGACATCATTTGCTATTGTCACTTACTAGCAGAAAGAAGTGAAAGTAAAAATTAACCATTTGTCACCAAACGTGGACATTCCCCTTTTTTGGATACTGTGATGTAGTAACACACAGAATCGTGTTAGATTCATTACAGAGTTAGATGAAAAAGGCAGATTTGGGGTTATAGAAATATGATTTGCCTTTCAAAAAAGAACCAGAAATTTCTTTATAAAGCACAGATTTTTCTTATCAATGTATTTCCATGTACACCCAGTACAAAGCTCCTTTTTAAGCTGCTTGTTTTGTAACAGCTCTAGAATATGCAGTTCCTGCATATGAAAGTACATAATGGAAACAGAAGTGGAGACTCCTACATTATAAGCTTTGCAATAGTGACATTGCAGCTGAAGCAATACCAAGGTGACCTTGTCCTTCTGCTGAACATTTACTTTGTTAAGGATCTGAGGAAATATTTCTTTTACCAACTCTGTAACACTGAACTCAGCTGTAATCTCATTTTCCTATTGTATTGTAACCTACTTTTCAGGCTGTATACCCACTACATACAGTATACAGTATCACTACAAGCCTACCACGCTCTTACAGTCCCCTGGAAATCCTTTGATGGCCACTCTCAGCAGCACGAATCAAAGCCAGAAGGATCTCTGGTCCAAGCCAATACTGCCATTCTTTAGGCAACTTTTGCCTTGTGTGGTGGCATGGGCTCAGCAACAACACTCACCTTTTATTTGCTGCTGACAGTGCACAGAATTGCATGATCCAGAGTTAGCTTCTGTATCTGTGGATGAATCATCCTCATCAATGTTAATCTCTTCAGTGATAATATCTGGGCCCAGTTTTGCCATATAAAGCATACTAATTCTTTTCAAGGTCTTATTTTCTTTGTTCAGCTGGAAGTTGAGAAGCACAAACAGTAAGAAGCTAGTTAGGCTGTCTTTAAGCTGCTGTGCAAGGAAAAAAAGTCAGCTTTATTTTTTCTCCTCTGTCATTAAAAAAAAAAAAATCTATCAAAAACACAACAAAATAACGGTAGATTAAATGCTTCATTCAAAATTAAAATTGTCTGAAGATGGAAAGCTTGTTCACTTTCTTCTCTGAGAAGGCTTGAATTCAACAGGATGCTTCATCCATGCCCTTCTTTTCTCTCTGGTACTTCTGATTAAGTAAATAACTTCTGCAGATTCAAAACAAATCAAATCAACTATCAAGCTTACTTACTGCTATACATTTTTTGTGATAGCTGCTTCAGCTCCAGCATGTACCAGCACCACAGGAGCCCCAGCTGAATGGCCACAAGAAGGGCTTGTGCTCCTGAAAGCTTGTCTGGTTTTGCCACCTATAGCAATTGGTCAAATAAAAACTCTGACCTCCTCCTATGCCTTTATTTTGCTCATAGACTACAAACACCACAACTACCATTAATTCCAGTCATAATAGAATTACCTCAAAATTCTTCTGAATTATTTTCAATTCTCAGGAATTATTACTGTAGAGTCAACATATGCAAGATGCCACATCATAATCCAATTCTTTATGGGTCAAAGCACAAGTCAGAAACCATACTGGGCTGGATGCTTCAACACATGGATGATACAGAAGAGGCTCTTAAGACATCTCCATCTTGGTTAAGGTGCCAGAAAGAACTGAACAAGAGGGATTGCTGCAAATGTTTCACTCTCTCAATTTCTTTCACTGTCCTGCAAACAGACACCCCATGCCAGCAGCTCTTGACAAGTTCTGCACAGTCTCAGGGGTGCTGAGGCATACATTGGGGTGACTGCCCACCCACCACCCAAGCAATCCCTGTATTCAGGTCTAAGAATGAGACTCAATTTTCTGCTAATGGCATACAACATGTCAAAGTCAATATGCACCTTAGAAGCTCAATATTTACCTTCAAATCAAACACACTGTAGTTAGCCTGACACTGCTACCTTTGATCCCCCCTGTTCCTCAGCCCCCCAACTACAAGAGCTTTCCTTGAGAACTTCTTCAGCTCATTCCCAATGCATGAAACTGAGGAAATGGGAAGAGTGATGTGAGGAACGTTACATGGTTTAGTCAGCTCACAGCAACAAACACATGAGCTTTGGCAAAGCAGCCCCATAGAGTAAACCTAGTCTTTGAGCTGCCCCATATGTGCATTACAGGAAAAGTGCAGAGAAGAACAAAAGTTGCATAAATATGTTCATTTTCTTACTTATATGCTGATTGTCTATCTTATGAATTCTAATATAGTGTCATTATGCAAACAATTAAGTAAATACCTCCACAAAGTACATTGCTAATGCATCTAAATTAAAGTGATTTCTTGCTGGTGTGATTTTTACCATTTCTAAAGACGTACTTTGGGCAGGGGATGGGGAGGGGGGGGGAAAGAAGGGAAAAAAAAAAAAGCAGTCAGCATTGCTAATGAAATTTGGTTCAAAATTGCTGTAATCCATTTTCTGATGAAGTGGCTCAGACGCATTTTACACAACCAAAAATATATAAGAGAGATAAAAACATTCTTTAATAATAATGCACTTCTGATGAGACGGAATATAGAAAATTACACACTTGCTAAATTCATCAGACTAGACGCAATCAACAGAGCAGTGGAGGTCACCTTTCCCCTGCCCTCGCTTTGCTTTCACAAACAATCACCTGAAATGTAATGCAGTGGTTGACTTTTTCCATTTGATTTAGACATTGAAATGCTCATTATGGTTTTATATCTCACACAGGACAGTTCTAAAACTTGCTTTCCATTTAACCTAAATGCATATAAAAACTAGATATCAAGATGCTGGTCCCTGACTTATTGTTCCAAAATAGAAAGCAAATGAAAACAGGTATGTTTTGGTTTGTGTAAAGGTAGGAATTGGATTTTACATCTCACTTATGGGTTTTGCCACTTCAAAACCATCTCAGAGATCTGAAAGATTATACAAAAATATATATGGCACATGTATACAATCTCAAGTTAGTAAAGAAATGAGATGAAACAGAATCACCATAATTCTTCTCACCTTAGAAGCCAAAGCCTCAGCACTTTCACGGCACGTCTTCTCAATTTCAAGATGGTTCTGAATACAGTTTACTTCCTCAATAACCATGTGAGAAACTAGGGGAAGAGTTTAGGAATTAGTCGGAATTTTCCAGCCTTTGACACATGCATCCCATGATCAGAAATACTCCATCATTTTCTGTTAACTTTCTATGTAAGAATTGCAAATACAGGGAAGTACATACTTAGATAATCTCCATGGATGGGAACAATTTTGAACACTGAATATATGGTTCATTGCTTTAAGGAATTATTTCTAGCCATGTCTGCAGCACTAGGGGTGGAACTGGAGAACTGAGCATAAACTTACGGAAGTAGAAGGGCAGCAGGAGCCTCCTTGACCATTGTCATTCATGACCATTATTAACACTTGAGGACTCAGAGTGAGATCATTAGGACTGTCCCTGAGGATTGCCACTATAACTCTCTTCAAAGTTTGGTATGGTTGTCAAAGAAGACCAGAACAGCAAGATGAACTCAGGTGTGTTACAGAGATTACTCCCACCTTCTAGTCTTTGGGTTTATACAGTGTTTATGTATCATCACACTTCCTAAACACACTGTAGCAGAAGAGCTGCAGGACGGACACCACATAGCACAGGCCTGCGGAAAGTTTACTAGGAAATGGAGAAAGACTGCAGCCTCGATATTCACAGAGCCTCCTATAGGGTGTGCTCCAACGGTTAAATCATTACCACAGCACAATTCCTTCATCTCTGCCTTCTGCCCCATCAGCTTCGAACCTACCTGCAGCAGCTGAGACAGACCCTAAAGGATGCAATCCCAATGGAAACTCAACACTGCTTACACTGCCTGACTGCTGACAACTTCATCTGGACAACCCAAGTTCTATATTACCATATGGCTGTACTGTCTGAACTGTTTCTTATTTGAAGCCTCTCTGTGCTTGAGCATGCCCTAAAATCAGCACTGCACCTGAAATACACAGCTGTGGTATCACAGTATGGTAGAGATTGGAAGGGACCTCGAAAGATCATCTAGTCCAATCCCCCTGCCGGAGCAGGAACACGTAGATAATGTTACACAGGAATGTGTCCAGGCGGGTTTTGAATGTCTCCAGGGAAGGCGACTCCACAACCTCCCTGGGCAGCCTGTTCCAGTGTTCCGTCACCCAACCAACTGTGGTACTACATTTGATACACAGATGGAAGAGCAAGAGAGCACATCTGTCCTTTGCACTTACAGGATCCCTATTACTGCAGTGGGTACCCACCACTATGTCGAAGATACACAATATTATTAAAAGTGATCAAAAAGTTCTGAAACAGATCTGATTTTGTAACATAGCATACCAGTGAGAGTTAACAGGAAATGTAAAAGCACAGATAGGTTTTGGCTTGCAGTTCCCCTCAACTTCCAGCAGTACACAGGTACTTTACTAGTGAAAAGTCTTCTAAGTGACAAGCTTCAGGTTGCACAGGGAAATTAGAGCAAAACAGAAAACCCAACAGTAGTTCTCACTTCCCAGGCTAGCACCTCACTCATTGATGCAACTCCTTCGTTGTTCCTGGCACCCTGATCCATGCTAAGCCCAGCCAGGTCCCTAATTCTGCAAGTTATTTCATGGTGCAGATTCCTTCTCAGCCCGGTGTATTTTGATGTTCAGAAAAGACTATTTGCAGCTGAACAATACTTTGGAGCAGGAACAAGGCTGGAAGAATGTAGGGTAAATATGGAAGACTTTTCCTATCATCTTTCATTTTCAGGAAGATAAGCTTTAAAACCTAGTGAATTCATACCACTGGGTAGAATATCCCCCCTGCCCTCTTCCAAGACTTCTGCCTAAACACTGAAGAGAGATACTCAAGTCCTCTGATATCCAGACCTCATCTAAATGACTACAAAACACAACTTCAAGAAGAAAAAAGCAGGCTGTTAACAAGGGTTATTTATGCAGCTTTACAGATACTTAGCCAATATTAACTAACATTTTTGTTAGCAACATGGGAAACCAGCAATATATTGGCGTTTGCTATTAAATCAGTAGCTGCATGCAAGAAGTAAGTTCTACAAAATAAAAGCAGTCAAAATAAAGCAGGGCAGAGTCCTGGGAAACCTTGGTCCCAACAATACATTCACATGAGGTCTTCTAACAGCAGAGCAACCACAACTCTTCGGTTGTGTTCTTATTTCCACCTTTTCTCATGCTGCAGAAAATACCTGTTCCAAGCACACAGTACCAGCTGCTACATTAAACTGAATTAAGGAAGAGCTTCAGGTTAGCATGTGTCCATACCTCTTTTGGGTTTATTGTACCTATCTCTGGGAATTTGGAGCAACGAAATGCTTCAAGCAGGATGAGGAAGCAATGGAGATACGGAGCTGTTCCCATTTTACAGACAGGAATCTAATGGCCTCAAGCAAAGCTAAAGTTAGGAAACCAGGATTGGGCTCACATGGCAGAACTAGGGATTACTCTTGCTTCATTTAAACTTAATTAACCTGCAATTATGATTAGCTCGGGGGGGGGGGGGGGGGAACTTTCCAAATTAAATACAAAAAAATATATTATTTCCTAAGTCTGTCCAAAGTTCTTATTATGTCAATATTAATATTCATAAAGCAGCACTAAGTGGCCTGAAACATCTCTAACCTTGACAGTTTTTTTCAGGGGTAATAATACTGCGCAGCAAATGCAGGCCAACCAAAAACCACTTAACTAATTAGTAGTTGCAGTCACCGAGAAAACATGAATCAACACTGTTATTACAAGTGGCACATTTGAGTGGCATCTAATTATGACTTGATGAGCACGATACTTGCATTATCAACATTACTACTGCATCCCATCAGGGACTAAAAGCCGCTGATGGCATTGACTGCGAGAAACTCCCACTCAATGGTACTGCAGCACCCAACAATCTCCTTGGCAGGGGCACCCTCACTAAATGACATGTTAAGCGTAATTACTGGTAGACATTGTAAATAAACAGGATTGGAAGTGAAAATTGTACCAAGTGCATAAGACACAATCTGACACATTGGAAGTGGCAGCCTTAATTGAGAGTTTCTTTGACTGCTCAAGATCATTTCAACTGCATTTCTCGGAGGACAGTGATTATAACTGTGGAGACAGACGGCATAATGGTATCAGCACTGCTGACAGAGCAGTGAATTAAATTGTATCTGCTGTTGTGTGAAAGCCTTGATGAGAGGTACAGATCCTTAGTGGTCTTATCATTATAACACAATGGTCATGTTGTCATCAACCTTGCTGGCTCCAATTGAAAAGAAATGATTGTGTGTTGAAGCTTTCCCCCCCACCACCACCTTCTATCTCTTGTGCTCAATAGAACCAATTTTCAGAGAGCTATGAAATCACGCAATAGGGCCTAAAATGCAGCTGCTTGGCATACAAACGGGGCCCCATTAAACTGGAATCACACACAATATGTGTTTATGCCAGGAGAACAAATAGAAGCTGAGTACAGGCCAAGTTTATTCACAGACACAAAGCCAATGTAGCTCTTCATCAATATAATTGCCTTTTATATTGTCGTTTAAATAATGGGCTCTATTATTGCCTTAAAATCCTAATATTCCTGGCATTTTATCACTATGTTTACAAGGTATGTCCTTTAAAAAATGTGAAAGGAAGATAAAAGAAACCTATAAAATTTTACAACATCAAATATAACTTCAAATTTTAAGTCTTAACTACTTGACATTTTCTGCCACACTCCTGTATTTCTCCTATCATAACAAAAACAAAACAGGCTGCAGTTTTTTTCAGAGGAATTAGACTTCTTGGAGAACATTCTTGCCTCACAGAACAGTTATCCAAGATCACAGATGATTCCTGTTGATCTTAGATCCTTTTCCATAATTGTATCAAATGAACAATTATAAAACAGAAGCGAGCAAATTCCTCTATTAAACACAGTCACACAAAAATACAGACCATGTGATTTCCTTCTCTGCATTAACTTCATCCACATTTCTGATGCTTCATGGTGCAGTTCATGGTACTGGCATAAACCAGACATCACAGACCACAATCCCATTGTGACTGTCTCTTGTAAGGACCTATTCCACTAGGATACTTCCACTCCCATTAGATGTGCTTTGTTGCTTCCAGACACCATACGGTTTCAACAGAACCATTACTATAAAACTGTAAAACTGAATATTGAAATTCTTACAGCCCAGACAAGACATAACTTGCACTAAAAACTATCAAGAGACAGCAGTTCATCCTTAATACCTTTACTGGTATTTTGGATGAACTCGTTCATGAAAAAAAATACCATTATTATTATTATTATTAGCAATCTCAGCAATGGGTCAAATCCCACTCCATCCAAACATGTCACTTGCAGAATCCAGGTGAGACAGAGATGCATTTGTAGCTGTATTTTCTCCACTCTGCAGCCCAAGAATGGCTACGTGGCTCCCTGTATCAGAGCATATAAATGCTGGGACAGCAGTTCACCTGACAATAGTTGAAGTTTCACTGGATTAGCTCCTTAACACAAGGCTTTGAAGGAGAAACAGCACATGGACCTGAATCTCAGCCTTCTTAACACTGTTATAGAGTACTCTCTATACCAAAATAACCCCACTAACATGATCAGCTTACTTTTCTGAAACTCCTCCAGTTTTTTGACAGCTTCATCTCGTTCTTGCTTGATTTTGTCACACTGCAGAAGAAGAGAAAATTGAAATGGAACACTGATCCCAGTTATTTCATTAGCAGTCAGTCACAACATGCAAAAGAAGCAAAGATCAACTGCTGGCACAGTAACGGACAGAAGCTTATCAAAGCATTGTTTCTTCTTGCTCTCAGTCATGTAGAATCAATGGAAACAATGCATAAAAAATTCATTACCAAGAGTATTTCCTAATGAAACAGGCAAGTTGCACTTGATTTTAGGCTCCAATTCAGAGCTACTCTGGAAATCTTTTAGAACCACATTATCCAAACTGATACAAACACTCATCCATGTTCCACACAACAGTAAAAGCAATACTTTCTTAACATGCAAAACTGCATGTCAAGAATATGCTTTAAGTCTGGTTTCATTAATGCAACTAGACTTGGAAGAGAGGCTTACATTTCTATACCTACCAAGTGCAAAGAAAACCTCAAAGCCAATAAACAGGGACATGCTGTTCAGCTTCCCAATCTCATGAGCCAAGGTTCCTCCTTGAAGAAGGGAGAACAGCCACCTTCATGCTCTAAGGATTTCCTGTCACCCCAGCTTTATTACTTTGGGGGTTAATACTAATACTACACAGGACTGCAATCGCTGATCTTGAGATCGAAAGTTTTCCCAACAAGAAAGAATAAAACAGACATTAAACAGACTTCTCTAAGAAAACCACTTCCATAAGCCAATGACAGAACTCACAAAGAAATAAGTAAAGTTCCCAAGAGCCACAGTCAGTGATTAAGCACACTGTGAAAAACACATGACCCAGGGGGAAGTATGACTGGCACACAATGTATCTTACACACACAGCATAGCAGACATCCTTCCTCACATGCGGCTGCCTATGCTCACAGCAATAAATCAATGTAAGACCATGAGTTAAGTTTTGGAAGAGATCTGTGTGACTGAGCTCTTTACGGTGTAACTGCAAGAACAAGGACACTGGTCACTGGAACAGAACTGGAAAAAAAAACCCAACTGAACCAATTTTGCTTGATTTTCAGTTTTTCCACATGAGAACCCACTTTCAGTTAGCCGGGAAAGGAGCCTGCTGTTAAGTAACAAGAAGGGGAAGAACCTGATTCAAAGGCAGCCAAATTCAAGAGACAGCCCTTCAATCAGCTCCAGAGGAGCTTGGATGAGACCCAAAGAAGGATCTGCTCCTGGGCAAGCAGAGGATGCCACTGATGTTGCTTCAGGGGCAGCCTCCATGCAGGCTTTGGAAGCTGCTGCTGCTGCTGGCTCTCTGTGGGAGCAAAAGGAGCTGCCTGCACTCAACAAGCAATCTCTCTTTTCCATAATGGTATCAGATGAACAATTATAAAATTAGAAGTGAGCAAATCTTCTCTTGGCACTGGGGTGATAAGGTGAGGGCAGCAGCTGAGATGGGGACACAGGTTAGTCACCAGCTCCTGTAAAGGTCTGTGAAACAAGGCAGAGCTGCAGAAGCAACATGAAGTGCTAAGAAGCAGCAAGACGTACTAAGCAAGCGGCACTGGACAAGGACTCACCGTTCATCTGGCCCCGTTAACAAAGGAGCTGTTTAGAGAATCCTACACAGGAGAGGTGGGGAAGGAAAATCTGTGCACAAACCTTGCTGTCGTCCCTCTCAGTTTCCTCAGCGTTACCTTACTGGCAAAAGTGCAGTCTAAAACAGGCATCAAAGACACAGAAAGTATTGCTGATTGTTCCTGTAGAACACAGCCCGGCTGCAGAAGGGGGATGACTGTGAGCTGCTGCCTCTTTGTACTCTACAAAAGAGACACTGTAACCACACTGGCATACTTCACCCACGGATTTTTCTGCAAGCTTTCAGCCCACTGCGCATTAAGGAAGAAAGAGATTTTTAATGCTCAGTTTAAAAAACAGGAAGATTGGGCTCTTTAAGGATCTGATCTATTGCCTGTGGAAGTCAACAAGACGCTTCCCTACTGATGGAAACCTTGATGTAGAGGATGCTGTACACTCCCTATCCCAATGATAGGAAAAACTCCTTTTGAAATCCTCCAGCAACACGCTGTAAGGCATAACAGCTTTCCCGGTGCAGCAAAAAGGGAAGTTCAGTGACCTATTCCACTTCACCTTGAGTGCTGTTTGCAGAGAGAGCTCCATCTGGACCACAGCAAGCTGACTATTCTCCCGATAGCGACGCATGTTTCTCTGCACAATCAGGGTCCGTGAGTTTTGGTCTCTGCAGAGCAATTCCTGCTCCCAGTTGCAGCTTCCTCAATATTTTCCTTTCTCTGCTACTGTGCTTCAGAATGAAAGAGCAGGAAGAAAAGGAGAGCGGGAGATTGTTGCCCTTGCTGAAACGATCAATGGGAAGCACTTTGCTTTTTGTCTTGCAATCAAACCTGTGCAAGCAGAGCTGCTGCAAGTCCTACCAAAAAAAACTAGTTTAGCTCCAATTTTCCTAAGAATTAAAGTTGAGATTGTCTTTAACTACTTGTTACTGTTTCAAACTTGAAAGTTTAGCAAACAAAATATTCCTATTATGTTTCATCATAAAAAACTATTGCTATCCCTTAAAATAAACTGACCTTACCTTTAAAACAGGAAAATTAGAAGACCAAAGCTTAGGAGAGAGATCTGCTCTCAAAAATTCACAACCACCTCACTTTTCAAAAAGGCAGTTTAATGCATACACATTAGGATTGTTAATTAACAAAAAATATCACTAATCATAAATATTAGAAGATGAATAGCGTAACATTGCTATAAAATCTACTGTTCATGTTTCCCATTCAAGCACTTGCAACTGTTGAGGAGAAAGAGCTTTCACGTATTTACTACGTCTCCCCTTGTCAGTATTAACAGATGGCTCCATACTCCAAAGCACCCTCAAATAAAAAGTATAATAATAAAAAAGTTGATAGCTCCTGAATTGTCAATATGTTTTCCATTTTAAACTTTATTTTGTTAAGAGTTTCAGCTGCTCAGCAGAGGAAAATGAGCATTTGTATCATTTTACTTACTATATTTTTAACCTAATATTTATCGCACCATTATCCCAATAAAAAATAAAAGGTGATAAGACAATTTTCCCATTCCAGTCCTGAACTAGCCATAGGAGTCAATGATAATTTTCTAGCAATAAAAAAACATTGCATCTGTCTTTTCAGAAGCAAACTAACAATTCAGTTGCCAAAATTCATTTTGTGAATAATTCCATTGAATTCCTCATCTCTGCAGGAGCAAGTTGAGGAGCTTTGCTGATCCCACTCAGTTTCAGATTTTTGCCTTCTAGGTACACAAGGCAACACTTTCATTTCTAGCACAGAGAACTGGTATGCTGCCTACAAGTCTATCATGTACATGTCACTGGCATTCAAACCAAATGCTGCATATACAGTGAGGCAAACAGCAGTGCATGAACTTGGCCTGTACTGGGAGCTAGCACAATACCAGGACAGTTGTGAAGTTGGTGCACACAACCTGCTGGAAGCCTGCGGATACATCACCTCCTTGCCACTAACTTCAGGGAACTTCTTATCTATTCTTTTCTAACAGGCTTCTTTATTACCGACTGTTCTGCACATAAGCTCCTACTCACTTCGAGTAAAAGACCTTCAAAGGGCAAAAACAAGGAGGAGATTGTTCAGTCCAGATATTAAGATGCAAGAAGTTCACGTAGTAGCCATATAGCCAATCAAGCCATTGCTAAGCAACACAAAATGCATTCTTTCCCATTTACAGACTGTGAAATTTATGCAGATTTAATGCTTGTTGTAAAATTATGAGTTTGGTACAGTGCTCACAAGTGTCATCTGACGTTTGCTATACTCTACTTACAGAGGAATAAGCATGTCATCAAGGCAGAATCCCTTCCCCATTCCCATTTGGTGACAAAACATATAATCCACTCTATACATTTGCTTTAACAGAGCAAACACCGTGAATGATGTATCAGAGATACAGTATTACACCTACTGTTTTGGATAGCTGTCTCGCCTTCCTTTTTTCTTTTCCCTACTGGCAGCATGACAAAACACTGTCAAAACCAGTGTTCAGAGTCATTTCTGTCTGATTAGCAAGTAGTCAAATATTTATTCATGATCTGTCTCTGAATACGTCAGAACTGCATATTAAGTGATCTACATTTGTTTGCAACTGAACGTTAGTTATCTGTTTTGGGGGGACTAGCATGTGTGTTTAGTCTGTTATTTCAATTAAAAGGATGACCTAAGAGAAGTAATCTGATAATATCATTTTTGCTCTGGGTTTTCAAAGGATTTAAAAATATTAATTAAAAAAATGCCTGTCAGAGACCCCACCAAATGGCAGTTTAGGAAGGCAATGAGGGAGAGACACTATGGATCAAAGATCTTATATTCTGCTCCTGAATTTTCATGCCTTAAAGCTTTTTAGGTAGCAGGCCTTTGAACAAAGTAACCTACATAAAAGTCAATTTTACATAGAATGGTTTGGGTTGGAAGGGACCTTAAAGATCCTCCAGTTCCAACCCCCTGTCATGGGCAGGGACACCTTCACTAGACCATATTGCTCAAAGCCCCCTGCTTTGGATGCCTTGAATTGAAGAACCTGCCATGCAAACTGGAGACTCAGGACACATTTTAAGTTAGCTGCCCATTATACACCAAGTCACATGTTTCTAATGTAAACTAAGATCATTTCTCCATGGCAAAGCTCATCTTTCAGAGCCATACAAGTGTAGTGGTGACTTAGAAAAAAACTCCATCGAGCGTGTCAAAAGCACACAGATAGAGACCCCTGTCTAACTCCTGTGTGTTACTGCCACAAATACCCTCAAAGTCCTTTGCTGAAAAGTAGTTTCACTTGTCTTCCTCCTATCAATGCAATTATGGGACCACAATTGATAGAGAGGGAGCCATCTGTATACACTCATACTGACAAACAGTGGCAGAAACTGGAACTGAATGCACCCACAACTTCCCAGACCCACAGGCAAAGATAACCTCTGCTATATTTCCTCCAATATCAGCTTTGATCCTGCAAAGCATAAACTAAGATATAAAGTTAAAGACATTAATGAGCTTTCAGGATTACCCAACCTTGCAATAACACAAGGCATAGTTTCTTCCAGTATTGGCACTGTAAGCAAATAAAACCAAGAACTCTGTATCAGTAGATTTTGTGGAAGAAATACACTCAGGGCCTCACACAGAGCCACTTGAGCCCAAGCGCTTAAACAACTAAGCAGGACTGCTTACACAAGCACCCCAATTTGCAGGATGGAGTTTCCTGGATGGAGAACACTTGCGTAAGAACCGAAAATCCTCCAATCCTGAGCACGTGCTTATTTATGGATGTAATCCCCATGTGCTCAGAAGTGTAGGATTTTCACTTGTTATGCAAGTATTCTGAAAACCATCATACCAACCTTCAAAAGAAACACAAGGAGTGGCTAGAGAGATGCACTTATAGGAAAGAAGTCTTGTGAGAGAGACAAGCAAGGAACAACGAAGGGCAGTGGACAGGCCTGGTGTGAAACTCCTCACACATGACTGAAATCAGCCATCAGCACAGGCTTAGGGGGACAGGACAAATTTAAGGAAGAGAGCTATGGAGGGAGGAACATGCTGAAACCACATACAGCTGAGGAAGTCCCCAAGCTGCAAGTGTTTTGGAGATTAGAAGAGTACTCTCTGGAGGTGTTATACAGGCTTTTACACTACTCCCTCTCTGTTGCTGTCAGAGACGGGATACTGGGCTAGATGGGCTCTTGGTCTAACTCAGTTTCATTCTCCTTTCCTTCTGAGCACCCCGACATGAATTGCCACAGTCTTCCTAACTGCAAAAATAGAGGATGTATTTCCCAGGATATCTAAGGCTCTGGTGTAGGACAGCAGAACAGAAATGCAGCAACAAGCATAGTAAAAAAGATGAGGAGGCCAGTGGGGAGGAGGGAGTGAAGCACAATATGCTGAGCTCAATGGAATTAGACATAATCACTGCTGAAGCATAACATGAAAATAAGCTTCAAGTTTTCTTCAAGAATGATACAGTAGTTAAGGACAAGATCTTCCCAGTGCCTTGAGTTGCAACATTTATAACAACTGGACTAAAAGTGAGCCTTAAGAAATGACTTCATAAAAAGCTAAAATAACCTACATGCTTTGGCAGCTAACAGGGATCTGAAAACTAACATTTCTTACATCTTCAGCTCAGTAATACTGGTGAAAGGAGTATTTTTTGTTTACAGTACAGTGCAGCACCAACTTCTCTGCCTTCTTCACTAGAATTGATAAGAGGCTTTTAGTGGCCTCAGTTTCTTTTGGCAGGTATCTGCTAAAAACCTTTTGCACATTGACGTGGATTTATGCAATGTAACACTGCCATCAAATCTGAGCGCTCTGTTCCTGTTGGCTTCCTCGCAGAAAGCAGGCATAGTGAATGAAAAAAGAGTCCTGAATGAAAAAAGATACTTAATGTGCTTAATTTTACTCCTATAAAGACAGTTCATTGTAATTACAAGGAACAATCTAGAAACTGGTCATTACTTCTTACTCCAGTATCTCTAAACACTGAAATAATAGGCTTGTAGTAATGTGTGAAGTTCAGCCCATACATTTAAAGCTTCTTTTCAAGTTGTACAGGCACCAAATTTCACAGAAGGATGCTGAGAATCCATTTTACACTGCAGTACCATCCTGCAAGTAAAGACATTTTGCTCTGCTATTAAAAACTGGGTTGGAGACTTCAAATACCTTCAGAAACCATATTCCCACATTCTGAATTTTCAGGATTGGGTAAGCAGAATTGGTTTATTTTCTTTTCAGGAAGTCTGACTGTGCAAATCAAGTTGTAATAAACAATTTTCAGATCCAAGAGAAACAAGTTTTCCTAAGAATATCTAAACACTTTTAGTCTGTGCCCACACTGTAACCATAGGCAAACTGGCTATAGCATCAATCAATCTCAACTTTTCTGGAGTAAAACAGATAAAATAGCTGCTGGAAGCTGTACTCATTGCTCCTTAATACATATAAGTACAACTGATACTACTTGTAAATAATGAGCTGAGCTCACAAAAGCAGACAACAACCTGCCATAGCCGATAGGGTATTCTGATATTTAGTATTTTAATATTATAAATAAGAATCAGGAGATACAAACCTCTTCTTTCGTTTTCTTATTTTCTGCTCTAAGCTCTTCATATTCGCCAATAGCTATGTAGGGGAAAAAAGAAAAAGAATAAAGTTAATGCTGCAGCACCTCCTTTGGTTAAATTAGCTCTCCATTTCATTTATTGTAAAGCTCTTCTGGCTATCTACACAGACTTCTTACATAACATGGGTCATAAACTTCATTAATAGTCTACGGATGAACTGGATGTACTTCTAGAATTGAAGTAATTGGAAAGTGTCTGAGTAAGATGGTGGCTCCTCAAACAATCAATTTCTGATCAATGGAGAGTTAAACAATCTTATTGATAGAGTTCAAAAATTACAAGGTGAATGTACTGGCTTGCAGTCACCATTTTAAAGCCACACTGGCTCAGCTTACAGATCAATGATAGAAAGCACGGTTAATGCAATACTGATACACATGTACATCCAGACCAGCTGAGTACCTTCATTTATTAACATTTCCTTCCCACGAGAGTCCTAGGAGAGGTTTTTTTCTTTAAACTCCACAGTGTAGACATGAAAGGATCGAATGATTTATCCAAGATCACACAAGAACTGAGCCGCAGGGATCAGCAGGGAAGGGATCAACCTCCAGGATACTGGAGGTCCATTGTTTCAACCAGTAATAATATGCAGAACAATCTAGCAGCTACCAATTCAACTTCCACTTTACTGCATATTTTCATGTGTCTTTCTTAAACCTTTTATTTTACTACCTTAAGGATGTGCCATTATTGCCACAACTTCCCAATTCTATTCTTTCAAGTGCATCCCATGTGGGCTGTTTGGTCTTTGAGACCATAGACATTTTATTGTCACTACACAGAAGCTGAAAACACTACCAAACCTTAGAGAAACCAACCTTGACACGAAAGAGCACTGTTCAGTCTTCAAGATTTATACTGCAAGAATGAGAGGGCTGCTCACATCACTATGCATCTTACTCCAGCCCTTTTGTATCTCCTCAGATTTTCCCTTGTACCTGAGAAAAGCTATACTAGCATTCAGGTTTTATTTCAAGCCAACTTCATTAAAACCAGATAGAGGGTATGAATATATAGTTTTCAGCTAGTGACAGCAGAGATGTTGGAGTTTCATCCTAAACTTAACATGTCTTACCCTTCATCTGAAGGCATTAACATGTAGAGTGGTAGATTAGCCACCTGAAAAACTGCTAGCTCCTCCTAGCTTTAGATAATTAAACTTTTTCCAGTGAGCAGCTCTTACAAATGAAGTTGTACTTTGCACTGCTGTTACGTCCCTTTTCTCCCTCCTCCCCAGCATTTCAAAACCCACTGAAATAAAACTAACTCAACTTGCTACTAGAAGCTAGGTCCACAGCACCACTGTTCTATTTGCCTTCAGCATGCCTGTTACTCTCAGCAGCAGAATTACCTTAGATGTAAAAACCTCATGTTATCCTCTTTTCTCCAAGATCATTTCAGTTTAGAGATGCGTGACTGAGGTACATGAAAGATGGGATAGAGACAGCAGTATTAGCTCCTGGGCTACTAACTCAAAATGCTACTGCTCCTTGTGTGCCTGGACCAGCAACAGGGAAATGGCAAGACTCTGCTAACTGTATTAACTAGAAAGCAAAATGAAGGAATGCTAGAAATCTCTTAGCCAGAATCTCAGCTCAGCTGTGATCAGCAACCCAGGGCCCTCAAATTAAAAACACTAAACAGACCTACTGAAAACAAAGTTGCAGTCCACATGCAAACTCGCATAAAATCTGATCATTTCAACATGTGGGAAAACTCCTTCCTCCTGCTCATCCAACTGAAAAGGTGGATCTATAGAGTGAGAATGAACAAAACCAGCTTCTTTAAAATGTGCCCTGCATCCTCACACCACTATAACTAATGTCTCCCATCCATCCCTTTACTGTGCCACCAAGACCCCTGCTATCTCCCATACTGAAGAAGCAGGAAAAAAAAACCCCACAGGTAGATAAACAGCAAAGAAACCATGCTGATGCAGTTACTCTAATAAAGAGCACCTTAAGTGAAACAGCATTTCCTACTCAAGAACTCAAAAGCTCTATCTATGCCTCTTCATCACTGTTCCACTTCTAAGCCATTTCCCTGTTTCCTTTAGGAAAACAAGTGAAAAGACTTCTAGCATCCAGATGAAGAAAAAAGGGAAAAAAGGAAAGGAAACAGATATACTCAAGCTTCTTCATACTTGAAAACTGGTGGTGTTTGCTCGCCTTTAAGGCAAACTCATACTTGTTACTCAGTACTTTATAAATGACCAAAAAATGTAAATATAGGTTTGCCCCACCCTTGACAGCTCTCCTCACATGCCCAGAGAACTGAGAACTCTGAATCACCAGCCCTTGAGGCATGGATACAAGAACAAGCTACTGAAAAACAAGGATAAGAACTTACTGGGAATTGCTGGCATGTTGTGTAAGGGCGCACCTGCGCAAGACTGGGATTAAACTCCCTGCTCAGGGCAGCCCTTCCCATTTTACTGTGCATGGCTCCTTATGGAGCAAACACCAAATCACCAGCTATTTTATGCTGCACTCACACAGCAACTTTCTTCAGAGCCTTTTTACCATACCATTAATGCAAAACTATTAGGTCATCCTTGAATACAGCTAATGAACAGTAAGGACCTGATATCTTAAAATAAGAATGTACTTTGTGGATGGCAACCTCTAGATGACGAGCCCATAAAAATCCATCATTCATATTTTCAGGTATGGATTTATTAAACAGTACATCTAACAAAGAAACTGCGGGTTTTATCAGGCCTGGAAACAAGTAAGATTTCTAAATGACCACACACATTCTGCTCTGTATCAGATTCTCTGCAAAGGCAGAAGATGCAAGTTGGTGGATGTTTTTCCTTTTCTTAATGCTGCGGGGCTCATTGGGATGCTTTCGCACAAAGTTTTTCAAGTAACTGTGTACAGCAAAGGTCTGAGGCCATCCACAAAAAGAGTCAAGAGTCTACATAACCTTCACTGAAGCGTAAATGGCATGAAGGTGACAATGATTTCTGTGCTCTAAAACTACTCTACAACAATTAATACCGGCAGCACTAGGCAACACGTCACATGTTCCAAATCTCATGTTGATTATTAGCTTTAAAACACTCTTTGGTATATTAAGAAGCATCACTATGCCTCATTTATAGATTGACAAGCAATAAATCCTGTTGTAGAAAGACTTTCCCAAACCTTCTCCGAGAGGTTTCCCAGTGGGGTAAATGAGTGATGAATAAAACAAACAAGATGCTTTATTAAAGGTGCTCCTGAAATTCCAGAACTACCCATAATTTTTTCAAAGAATCAATAATGTAGCATATATTGATAGTAAACCACCTACACTGTACTCATCAGCCTCCAGTGAATCCTGATGAAATGTAATAAATATGTGTAAGAGGCCTCTTGAGATACTGTTTCTGTCTGACCCCAACTTAAGTTTATCCTTAGTAAAATTATTCCTGATATACAGCAGTATTACATAAACAATTTATTAGGACACAAATCCCATTTCTCTGCCTCAGGTTAACTTCATGGAGTATGAGGACAACACTATGCCTTCATCTCAAGACTAAGGAGAGAAAAAAAACTGGGAAAAAAAGAGACAAGAACAGATTATTTTGGGCTAACCAAACACCCTTAATGCACCCAAAACATAATCCCTGATCTTAATGCAAAATACTCAAACTATGGAAAAGCCAACGCTGAGTGAACACAGAGTGCTCCTTCGTAACATACTCACCAACTACTCACTCCACAGCTCATCTGGCCAGAAGGGACTGTCCTGTCAACATCTATCAACGCTCTTGATCTGTATTAAATTAAGCAGGGACCTTTGTGTACAGAAGCTCTTTAATTATAACTTAGTCTTTTGATTTTTAATTGTGAACCTGTGTCTCCTGAACCTGGATTTGCTAACAGAAAATATGTGTTATCTGAATATGATGTTTTATATATTAGATACTTATTATGGCTAAAAAAGAGCACTTATTAGTGAAACAAGGTCATAAGAATATGACTATAATTCATAGTGAATAACCAAAAAGACACTTTCATTTACACAGTGATGTGGTGAGAGTCTTCCTAGTCTTTTTATTAAATAATTCATCAATCCCCTTTCTAAAGCTGAATACCAAAAAATAGAGATTAAAAGAAAAAACAAAACCACCTTAAAAATGCTACATTCGTGAACTTTAGCACTTATATTTAAACTAGGGTGGCCTCAGAGTAGACCCAGAGCCCTTCCATGCCAAAGCAACAAGTAATGCCACTTCAGCGTTCCAAACCTACTTATTTAATCAAAATATAAGTAGAGCTGTCAAAGGAAGCAAGTGTCATCCCACTATTTATTCTTCTTGACTATGGACCAGACATGTCTTTGCTGGTACAGACAAGAAAAGAGCTTAGAGTGCAAGAAGTCCTTTGCTTCAGATGAACCAAGCTATCCTAATGGAGTCATTTTTTGCTTTAGAAGTAAACTTTTTGCAGGTTTGGATGTGTCATTAGAGAGAGAATTACCCCTGACAGCAACACTGAACCAAAAGCTTTATTGGGAGTGCTGCCACCACACTCCCCATCCCAGAGTACTTGGAAGAAGAAGAGGCAGGCCAGGGCTGTTGTACAAACCCTCTCTCAATTAGCAGTGGTCTCCCTACAAGCACATTATCCCCTGGGCCTCCACGAAAAAGAGATGGAGTTAAAGAATGAGCACTTATGGGCTTGTATAAAGGTGAACGTGTACGATGGCATTATATCCATCACCTCACAATAACTCCAAATCTTGAGTCAGAATATATGATCCTTTTATTAGGCCTAAAGCTTACATGGCCAAACCAGGTCCTGTATCAGTTGCACCAGCTGATATCTACAAGACTCTGTTACCAAACAGCTCTTGAAAAATATACCTGAAAAAGAATATACTTGAAAAATAAAAAAATAAAAAAAACATAGGTGTAAGTATACAAAGGTAAGCAGTGAGTACAAATACTGCGAGTCAGTTCCCACATGCTTTGATTTTATTCAAATCTGTAAAAATATATACAAATAAATGCTTTAATGAGACCCCAAATTTGCATCCTGCAGCCTTGCAGCTTCCTGCAAACTGGACAGGGAAATTAAACACACCACTGCCTGATAAAGCCCAGCCACCAAGCTCACACCCAAAGGCTGGTTTTCACAAGGTCCTGAAAAACACATACAGTTCAATACGAGAAAGTGAAATGGGAAACACTTTTAAACTGTAATAAATGAAGTAAACATTGAAGCAGAATGGGTTCTGTTGGGGAATGGTGACTGCTGTGTATGAACACCAACACACACAAGCACATAGGGAAAAAGAAATAATCTATAGAGCTGATGATCTCAGAAGAGGATATAGCAGCCAGCAAGATACCCTCCCCTAAACAGAGAAATTCCTCTGGCTATAAAAAGTTACCCATCTGCCACAAAGAACGTATTTGTCAAACCACATTACGAGCTTGTCAATAGCATATACTTTAAAAGTACTACTCTGAGATATTGCTGTCAGATTGGCAGTCTGTTCCTTAGAAGATACATGGTGTTCCCTTATTCAAAGGTTCTGACATATTTTTTATTAAGAGATCAAATAGAGCCACAAGACTAGAGACTGGATATCATCACACTTGAAATCCAGCCAACAAACACAGAGCAAGATAAGACCTTTAAAACTCATCAAGAAAAGCCAGGCAATACAAACATGTTCAGTATATGTGTATTTAACAGTAGCTGTTAATCATTGCAATTTAGCAAAGTGACCAGAAATGTCACTATGACAGTGGCAGCTGAAGGAATTTTACTTAGTTTGTAGCTCCACACATTCTGGTTGCTGACTCCTGTTTTCAACTGAACAAAGAAGTGACCACAGCAGAAGATGACTCTGTCTTTAAAGGCAAAGTACCAGCACTGCCAATTAAACCAAAGACAAACAAGGCAACTTTCCAGGCAGGTGATCAGCTACTGTTACAATGCAGCTGTTAGTCAGTTTGCTGCAGGTTTGCTCAGGTTTTACAGCCAACCATTAATAACACAAGGTTTTGACCACTTGATTTTTGTTTCAGTTTTAAGTCTTACCCATAGGAAATTTAAGAGGCAGTTGAACAGAAATGTGGAAATAACACTTAGAGTAGTTAGGTAATGCTAATATTTTATAGTGGAGCTGCTTTACCAAACCAAGCCATCGCCGAAAGCCAGTCACAGGATTAAAACTCAAACACCACTTTTAAGTCCTAAATATCAACACAGAGATTGTGTTTCTGCATAATGCTCACCTTAAACTTGGTAAAGAAACCAGCCAAAGAATGATCAGTATCAGGTATCTGAGTTGAACACACAAGACTTGGAAAATTCAGCATGGGTAAAAGATAAGCACATCTTGGCACACAGACAGCTTCAGTGTCCTTGTCACTGTTCAGAGCTCTGCCAAACAGCAAAGTGAATCTGTCCAGACACGAGTCAGTGTCACAGCTGCCATTGAGAATTGAGCATAGAGCTGCAAAACACCTGCCTCAGGTTCAGTCTTGCTTAGGAAAAGGACAAGCAGCAGTTGAGACATGACAGCAATCAGCCACGTACGCTGAGACTTGCCTTCCCCTCCACCTTTCACATGGCTTCTCAGACAGTTTAGCTACCTGGTGCCAGGCAAGTTTCTCAAGACTAGAAAAACACACCCAGAAAGAGAAACCAAACAAGGGCTACTGAACCATGTTCTCTGAAGCCCCCCCTCCCCCCCAAATCAATGAGTGTTTCACAGAAATCTGACTACAGACCATAATGTTATGGTAATCTGAATCCACATGGCACTCCAAATGCAATAAAGGTAAGACAAGGTAAGTGTATACACCCATTACCCCAAATACTCAAGAGAGAGCAGGTCCTTCCACCAACTGCATTTACTTCCAAACCAATACCATTATCTACATCTGGAAGCAGTAAAGAGGAAAATCAAGACTTTTCTTCCTTCTTTTCATGCTGCCTCTGTTTAACAGAGCATCTTAAAATTCCTTGAGGAATGCTGTTAGTGTCTACAATAGCCTTATTTTGTTTTCAGTAAGAATGGAAGGGAAACTATATACTCAAAAGTACCGTGTACAAAGAGGAAGCAAATTTACTTTCCTCCAGTAACAATATTGAGGTCATTACTGTTAGGATAATTTTACGCACCTTTTCCTCACTTGTAATCATTACTTTGGGCACCTCAGACTCATCAGTTAACATAATTTAACTACTAACTTAACTACAGTGTGCTGCTTTGCACTGGTTTAGATACAAAACAGCACACAGAAGAGTGTTTTCTTAAGCTTTCCACTGGGTAACTTCTCACCTATATAAAACAACTTCCTCACCAGCCATACAGTTACAAAAATAATTGTTAGCCTCACAACTATATACAAACATCCACCAAGAACAGTGTCTCACAGGACAGGGCTGCCAAGTACAGCTTCTATTTCAACAGCTCAAGTGGATCTGGGACAGCCAGTCCTCAAGTTACAGAAGCTTTCCCTTGAACTAATTCCTGCAGTCCCAGGAAATTTCATTAGGCATTAAAGGATACTTGGACCACTTGAGCAAAAGACTCACAGACACTGGAACTGAAACCCCAGTATAACCAATTTCAACAGGTTAGGATTTCGCTAAAGAATAACCCAAACTTGCCTTTTTTTGCAACTTATTATTATCATTTTAGCAACTGTCCTTTTGGCACAGACAACTCCTCTGGAGCCAACAGTACTGGAGGGAAACAGTTGGAAAGAAAACTCAGATTTTTAGCCTTATTTTTTGCTCCCGTATTATTAAAACACACATCTGTAAGATTATCATGAATTTTACACCCACTGACATCCTTCTAAGTCACAATCTATCCAGTGCAGCTGGTAATCATGAATTTACAATGCTGAGTATATGGGAACAACCAATAAAAATAAGTTCGCAAATAGCTTGCAAATATCCAGCTGTAATGTGGTTAAGAAAAGCTTTGGCTGTATAGCAAAAGTGACCAAGTGCAGTAATGGTCAGAATGAGCGGGGCACTACCCACATTCCCGTAATTTCACTTTTACACAACTTTGTCCAACATGTCCATTCCAAACAGCTCCTCCCAGGCTATGGGAGATCAGGAGAATGCAGCTGAGCGAACTACCAGCTGCGAATTAAAGTGCTGGTACACTGCACCTACTGTGGATGAAGCTGTGAGACAGGAGGCACACCAATGCCTTGATGCACACTCACAAGCAGATGTCCACAGTTCAAACAGCCAGTAATGCTGGTTCTTCAGATGTTGCCTACACACTTAACCAGGGTAGAAACTTTGCTGGAACAACTTGGTTTGGGGGTAGACTGATCAGGGATGTTAAAAAATGGGCTACGCTTCAAGCATCCAGCGTTATTTCCATGCCTTTTCTTACAGAATACAGACTATTACAGTGGTTTAGTTTCTAAGCCAAGCTACCCACTCAGGAAGCTGAACATTTACACAGCTGAAGTACCGGACTTTCCAACTAAAGCACCAAGGGTGATTCACATGGGGAACCAAACCAGCCCACAACAAGCACTTCCTTTCATTTACACCCTAACTATAAAGGCTCTACAGAAGCTCATGGCGTATCAGGGCAAGCCTCAAGCTATCGGCGGGAAGTTTGCACATGGATGGGGAGCAGATAGATGGTGTTGATGGGCTGGGTTAGCATCAGATGCTGCAATGCTGAGCAGCAGACAGGACGTGATGCCAGGTCAGGTAAAGCCTAAAGTGCCCTCACTCCACATGAAGCTCAGCTCCACAGACAACGAGGCACATGGACTTCACCACTGGAGCTGGGCCAAACAACGAAGCTCACCAGTGCCACTAGCCAGGGTATCAACATCAGCCACCAGCCTGACCATGGGTAGAAGGTTGGGACGACAGCAACGACAGCCCGTGTGCCACAGCCCTCACCCTGCTCACCATCACCCACCACGATGCCCACGCTCACTCGGCGACAGCCGAGCTCACCTGCGGGGAGGCGAGGCAGCAGATTCATTCCCTTGAGGCTCTTTTATCCCCTCTTCATGGACGGAGACGGGAGCCTGGCTTCGAGAGGGGGTCGGGGGACGCCCAGGCCCCGGCCGCCCCCGGCGCAGGCCGCGCCGCCCTTACAGCCCCGGCCCCCCTCTCCGCCTCACACCGCCCCGCGGGGGCCACGCTCCCACCGGCCGACCACCGGGCCCGCGGCGGCGGAGAGGAGGGGAGGGGATGTAGAAAGGGGGGTGGGAAAGAGCCGCGGCACCGCCCGCCCCTACCTTGGTCCTTGAGGCTGGCGAGCAGCTCCAGCTGCTTCTCCTCATCGGAGCTGTTCATCCTGCCCGGCCGCCCCGCTCCACCTCACCTAGCGCGGCTTCACCTGGCAGCGGGCGGGCGGGCGGCGGCCGGAGCCCCGGGGCGCGGCGGGCGCGGCGAGCAGCCCGGCCCGCTCTGCACATGCCCAGACTCCCGCGGCGCCCCAGTGAGCATGTGCGGGGGTGCGGGCACGGCGGCACCTCAGCCTGCGGGCGGGCACCGGTGGCAGGACCGCGCACCGCGGCCCCTTCCCTTCCGCTGCTGCTCCTCGGGCCGGACGGGGCACCGGAGGGCGCTTGACAAGGGGGTATGAGGGGAAGAGCCATCAACAGGCCACCGGTCAGGGGAGACCCAGGTACTTGTAGCCCCCTTGGCACAGTCAACGTGCCAGCCCCCGTCACGCTGGCACAGACGGGCAGTGAAGGCCTTAAACTCCAGACCCAGGGCAAGACCCACCTATGGATGCCCCAAAAGCTGTGAGGAAGCTCTCCTGCACTGCTGCGGGTGCCTGTGGGTTTAGTAAGTAAGCCGCTTTGCACAGTTTGCATGGGGCAGCTTTCCACTTGGGATTCATGCCCTGGCCGGAGGAGTGGTGAGAGGACATAAGGTGGTGGTATGGAGGACATTGAGTGCTGTGGTGTGAAGAAAGCTAAAAGGCTTTAAAAGAAAACGAATTGGAAGGTTGCAAATATTGTTTGTGGGGATATAAGGGAATCAACTGCATGGCAGTTCCAGCGTCCAGCACTTAAGGACAGCTTTGGAACAACATGAGGACAGGGCTTTGACAGGGACCCTGCTGTGTGCATCTCAGAAGAACACAGTTCTCTGTTCTTCCTTACCTGTCTTACCTTATTTACCTACTCACCTTTACTACTTCTTCCAGTGCCTAAAGGGTCCTACAGGAAGCCTGGAGAGAGACTTCTGACAAGGGCCTGTAGGGACAGCCCAAGGGGAATGGCTTTAACCTGCCAGAGGGGAGACTGAGATGAGCTCTTAGGCAGAAGCTCTTCCCTGTGAGGGTGCTGAGGCGCTGGCACAGGGTGCCCAGAGAAGCTGTGGCTGCCCCATCCCTGGCAGTGTTTAAGGCCAGGTTGGACACAGGGGCTTGGAGCAAGCTGCTCTAGTGGAAGGTGTCCCTGCCTGTGTCAGGGGGTTGAAGCTGGATGGGCTTTAAGGTTCTTTCCAACCCAAAGCAGTCTGTTTCTATGACTCTCTGATGATCCCTGTGTGAAAAAGAAGGGGATCCAGTGATGATCTCTCTGTTAAAATGGTTACCTTACCCAGCTTATCCCAAGGCTGACATAGAGAGCACTGCAGAAATTGTTTCTGCCTCTGTTTTTGGCTGAGCTTCAGTAGCAATCAGCTGAGTGGCAACTATCTTAAGAATTGCATGGGTGAAGGTACAATTCATACACCTCACTACCTCCTTGGCAAATACCTGTGGTTCACCTTGGCAGGCAGGTCAGAAAACAGCATTGCCGTAGACGTGGCAACATTAGTTAGAAGTATCTGGGAAGGAAAGGAAAAAGACCTCACTACAAAGCGTTGCTCTGTCCTCCTTCCTCCCAGACCACATCCTTTAGTCTTCTCATGCTGACCTAGTAAACCTTTAAAACCTGAAGAGATTCCATATTGATGCTTTACAGCGTTATCTGTCCTAGAGGTAGTTGCTAACACACGTAGCATCCTGGAAAGAAGCCAGGAGATCCATGTGAGCTATACTGGTGTCTCATGAGCGTGGTATGCTCATGTAAGGCAAAGGAGTTCTTATGCTAGTCAGCTTATTTTGAACTAGTCAGCACAAAATGCGTTTAACTGTACCAAATGGAAAGATATAAATTCGTACTTCAGGAGGTGGAGTCATATGTAAAGGATGGGAAATCATCTTGGAAAAACAAAGGCTTTGTAGAGGAAGTGGGAGGCAAAGTGCAAGTAATTACATACGTGATGCCAGTAAGGTACTGCAGGGAAAGAATGGGATATACACTGACAGCAGGGGAAAAAAAATCCTCTATGACATTGACAAGACCAAAATAAAGTTACTGTATCCAGTTCTTCAAGAGATGGTACAGAGACATGTATGGAGAAAGCACAAGAGGAATAAAATAACCTAAGGTTTGAGGGGAGTTCTTTGCAATGAGACACATCAAACCCTTGATCTTTTTAGCTGAGCAAAAAGGAAACAAATGTGCTTATGTTTATTTCACAGGAGAAAATCCTGAGTACTTGAGGGGTTTCCAGCCTAGTAGAAAAGAGTCAACCAGAATCTGTGCCTGTAACCAGAAGCTGAACGTAAGAACAACAAATAAAGTCACACATCAGTAAATGCCTCCGTTTGAAGGAACAGAGGTCCTATTTAGGTCCTTAGAGTCCTGGGCTGACCTTGGCTTCAAACAGTCCCCACGTTAAGTCAGAGCAGCTTTACCAGTGTTTTACTTTTTCATGTCCTTTCTTGGGCTGCCTGTTGGCTTCCCTTCAACCACAGGTCTCATTCCAAGTCCCTCTTCCCATTACTGATATCATCCCCCTCCGTTTCCTAACCGATTTCTTTCATGCAGTGCAATGGCACAGTTTGCAAAGCAGTCATTGTAGAGTTGCTTATCCCTGCACCATGCCAAGGCACTGGACATTTTCATCTTGCAACAATGTTCTATCTGTTGTACACAGCCAGAACAGGGCATAACATCTCTTTGATATCTGCAGAGACAGTAAGTTGATTCTTTCATTATTTTATTTATTTATTCTCATTAAAGCATTATGGCTCTCTCAAAAGAATCCCCTTCCATGGTGCCTATGTTGCAGCTTTGTCATTCTTTTTACTGCTATTATTCACTTAGACCTACATCGAGTTACAGTACCTTGAAAAGTAAGTATTTAAAACAAGAATGTCCTTGTTGCAGACCCATCTGGTTGCAATAGTAGGATGGGTGCCACTACATTATTCCCCAAATACGTTAATCAATCAGGTATTAAGTGTTGCTTTTTCTAAATTAGCAGACAACTGAAAAATTAACTCCATTGTATTTGCTAATAGATTCCCGTGTGCTCTAAGGACTTAATGCCTCCAGAAGTCTTTCCATGGATCATGAATTCAGTTCCTTGTTTCAGGGTTATTTTAGATGAGACTTAGCCTGTAATGCGGTATGAGTATGAGAGTTAGTCTGTAATATAACATCTACACTGTGATTTGATAACTGATGCTGTAAACCATTAAGATCATAAAAGGCCTGAGCAGGTGATACAAGCACCTGATGTGGGATTTCACAATGTTTAAATAGGCACTGTGTAGTAATTGCTTCCCCTATCAGAGAAAAGCAACACTGTACTTTGAACACACATAACCAGTTTCTAGTGACAGCATTTCAAGAACACTATTATTCTTTTGTTAAATGGGAAAGCTGAGACTACAGGTGTCTTAAAATTTGTCCAGTACACATCAGTGCCAGTGTTGGGGAAAAAAATCAAGGATTGAGTCACTTTCTACTGGACATGATGCATCATAGATAACCCATGTCTTTTTGGAGGCAAAAATTTAGATGAATTCACCATATCTTTACATTACACCCATATGTGCCTGTTCTTCCAAGACTAGGAATAGTTTTGTCACAGCCTGTACAACATTTTGAGAATCACAAATTTTACTTGGTAGGAAGATGGAAGAAAAGCACAATAGGGAAGGCTAGAGGCACTGTAGAAACTGGGATTGGAATTCAGCTCTTGCCCAAGCAGAGCAGAGATTTAAACTGGGTGTCGTTCTGCATAATGTTCTGTTATGAAACAGTGATAATCAAATGCATCAGTAAAATAAGTGCCTCATTTCTGGACATTTGAGCAAATTAAGGTAATGTGGCTCTTAAAAAAGACAAAATCTGGAATATTAATGTGTGTGGATTCATCCTGCTGTAATGACTCTGGCGAGACATCATGCAGAGTAACATGCCAGCTCCTACTGCCACACATCAGATAGAAACACAGACCTGTCTGGAAGAGACTGCAGAGAGCCTACAATGAGAGCAATCAGTTCTAAATGTAATCTAGACCTGTGAGAAGAATGTGTGTGGTTGGGGGGATTATTTCCTGTAAGGAAAACCAAGGGAAAGAATAAAGAAGGTCTTGATTTCACAAAATAAAAAAATAACTGTTAATAAGCTGTCCTCAGAATCAGTGGAAAATCAGTGCAGGGTTTAAACTATAAGAGGGAAGACAGTTCCGTTAGTAAAGATTTTATTAGTGGAAGCACTGAAATAAGCTACAAAGAGGGAAGGTGAAATCTTCACAAGTTTCTGAGAAGTCTGGGTGACCTGTGAGGATTTGCCCTTCTGACAATCAACAGAGGTGACAGGACTGAGAGCAAAGGTACCACTCCTGCTCCTTTGTACCTCCAGTTCCCATCATCCACACCAAGACTAAATTCACAAGAGGTCACCCCTTCCATCTTTCTAAGTCTTTGCAGGAAGTCTCATATCTCCAGGCAGGTCCACCTATACCCAGGAGCTGGTGATGGACTCTTAAATTCAAGGAAGGATGGGAGAGAAATATAGAGCTGAATATAGAGCAATACCTCTTCCCTGCTGAAGCTCTCAATGTAGTAATGCAAACCAGATACTTGAAGGGTTTAGAGAGCCCTGTGCTCTGAGGTATGATTCAGTCTTCCCAGATCCCCGCTCCAACCTCCTGTTGTTCACAGATGATTATGTTTATAAGCTTTATTGGAAATAACACTGACACACTTGTTCAAACCCTTTTGTGGTTGTTATTCTCCTTGCAGCAGGACACATTTATTCTTTGCTTCTGCTGAATAAATAATAATACGAGATATATATATATAAATAAATAATAATTCTTCCTTAGCTGTGGACAGATCTGTGTAGGCTGATCTGTGGAAGTGGTGTATGGCCACAGCTCCACAGCTCCTGGAGCAGATGGAAAGAGCTACCAAGAAATGAAGGGCCACAAACCTAAGCACAGCATCCAGGGAAGCATCCCTGAGCAACAGTAGTGGAGGGCAGCAGCTCCGGGTGTCATCTTTGAAATAAAACATGTCTGCTGTCCTTCCACTTCCCTCTCTGGCTCTGTGCACTGCCTCTCGCTTGCTGCCGGCTCAGCCATGCTGCACTCAGATGGTCAGGTTCTTCTGCAGGATTTCCAGGAA